TCTTCAAATGTGGTACACTTGACTGCATAATTTGCGGTAGTCAGGATGGTATTTGTGCTTTCTTTTTCTTTTTTTTTTAAGGTAAATTTGAGATGCTGTTAGTGAGAGATAGTTGAAGAAATTAATGTAGAAAGTGTTTTGTGGTATTTTCATGTTTTTTCCATGGTTGTATTTTTCTTTTGGCTCTGTTATTCTGTTTACTCAGTTCTTAGAAAGGATGTTTATACAGATTCAAAATCTGAAAAAACCTAGAACAAGATTTCCTTAATTAGAGGCTTTATAATAGCTTGAGTTTTAATTTTGACTTTATTCTACTTTATTTGATTTGACTCAATTAAATTAGAATAGTAAGTATAATTTAACTAATATTTACTAAATATATTAGTCGTATAGAAAATACCTTATTAATATAGCATCAATTAAATTCCATAAAGGAACTCATAATACTTTTTTTGTAATTTAACTATTCTATTTTTGGAGGAGAAATAACAGAAAGCATCACACAATAATGTGTAAATTATTAAAATAATACCTTGATATTATTTAAGTTATTTTATTAAAGTCACTCATTATTATACTGATATTTTAGCTTTTTTCACCTATTACTTCTTTGAATACTTTTGTGTTTTCTCTTGACTATTTTTAGTCTTTTCTGCTTGCTGTGTTTTTCTCTACTCAGCTTATAAATGTTGGTTTTCCTAATGGCCTAATGTTGAACTCCTTTTCTAACACAATTACTCTAATGTTAGGTGATGTCTTTAGTTTTTATGATTTTATAGTACTAACCATATTCCCACAACTTTGGATTTTACATATCCATCTTAAACCTCACTTCTGATATCCAGAATCATCTGACTAACTGATCACTTCATAACCCTCCACTGGGTCTCTTTCAGATAATCTCAGTTTATACAAATATGAAATTGAACCCTTGATTCTTACCTGTACTTCAAAAAACAAAACAAATCCCCCAACAGCAATAACATCAACAAAAATCTTGTTCCACCTTCTACTCTTATATGAAATATTATCATTTAGGTGCCTCGGCCAGAATGTTGGGGGTCATCCTTGATTCTTACCTCTTGTTTCTCCCACATAGACAATCACTTGCTCTATTCTTCTAAGTACCAATATCAAAATATAGACAAATTTTGTCTACTTTTCTTATCCCAATTTTTGCTACCATAATCATCTCTCTAGGACCACTGTATTATTTCTGGATACTTAATACAAGATATCTAGAATAATAAACTGAGCATAATTTTGTTTTAGGATTTCAGATTAATAGTAAGCAGTCATTTTTATTTTTTTAGGCAATTCTTTTTTTTAATTTATTTATTTTTATTGATTATGCCATTACAGTTGTTCTATTCCCCCCTTCATTACCCTCCACCCTACCTCCCTGTCCCCATTACCCCCCCTTTAGTTTATGACCATGTATCTCAAGTTCTTTAGATTCTATATTTCCCATACTATTCTTGCCCCCCAATCTATTTTCTATCTACTGTCTATGCTACTTATTTTCTATACCTTCTCCCCCTTCTCCTCCTCCCACTCTCCTGTTGCTAACCCTCCTTGAGATCTTCATTTCTATGTTTCTGCTCCTGATCTAGCTGTCCTTTTAGTTTGCTTTTGTTTTAGGTGTGGTTGTTAATAACTGTGAGTTTGCTGTCCTTTCACTGTTCATGTTTTTTTAACTTCTTTTTCTTAGATAAGTCGCTTTAACATTTCATATAATAAGGGCCTGGTGATGATGAACTCCTTGAATTTGATCTTATCTGAGAAGCACTTTATCTGTCCCTCCATTCTAAATGAAAGTTTTGCTGGATAGAGCAATCTCGGTTGTAGGTCTTTAGATTTCATGACTTGGAATACCTCTTTCCAGCCCCTTCTTGCCTGTAAGGTCTCTTTTGAGAAATCTGCTGACAGTCTGATGGGAACTCCTTTGTAGGTGACTGTCCCCTTAGCTCTTGCTGCTTCTAGGATTCTCTCCTTCATTTTAATCTTGGCTAATGTAATGATGATGTGCCTTGGTGTGTTTCTTCGTGGGTCCAACTTCTTTGGGACTCTCTGAGCTTCCTGGATTTCCTGGAAGTCTATTTCCTTTGCCAGATTGGGGAAATTCTCCTTTATTATTTGTTCAAATAAGTTTTCCACTGGTGGCTGTTCCTTTCCCCCTTCTGGTACCCCTATCATTCGGATGTTGGAGCGTTTAAAAATGTCCTGGAGGTTCCTAAGCCTCTCCTCATTTTTTTTGAATTCTTGCTTCTTGACTCTTTTCTGTTTGGCCATTATTTGCTTTCTTCTGGTCCACTCCATTGATATGAGTCCCAGTTTCCTTTTCATCGCTATTGGTTTCCTGTGCAATTCCATTCATTTCAGTTAGTTTCGCCTTCGTATGTTTGTTTAATTTGTGGCTATAATCAGCCAGTTCTGTGAGGATCCTGATGACCAGTGTTTTAAACTGTGCGTCTGAGAGTTTTGCTATTTCTTCATCACTTAGATTTATAGGCTCTGGGGCTTTGAGATCTTCTTGAGCCATTTTTGGTCCGTTCATGCCCTTTAAGTGTGAGGAGTGGAGCCTTGGACTCCGAGGTTGCCGGGTTGTGACGCTGTATGTGGGGGTGGGGTCAGAGCGGGAAACGGCGGCGCCCTCTGCTGCGGCTTGCTGCGGGGACCCGCTGGGTCCTAGCCCAATCACCCACTCCCTCGCTTGTCTATCCGCGCACAAATGCGCGACCACAGTCAACCAGCAGCCCTGCTCCCTCGCTCTTTCCCCGCGGTCGCTCCTCGGTCGCTTGCTAGGTCTCTCACTGGGTCCAACCCTGCGCCTGGATTCCGTGTGCCTGAGTCTGTCTGACGGAGTTTTCCTGTGCAACCCCGCTCCACCAGCTGCTGGTTTCGCCCCTTACTGGTCAGGCTGAAGAATTTGTTGTTAACAGACTTTCGAAAAGTTCAATTTTCTGTGTTCTGGCTGTGTTTTCTGTTGCTAATATTTAGTTGTCTCTAAACTTGGTTGTGCGAGGAGGCACTGCAACTCCACCTCTGCCTCCATCTTGGCAGAAGTCCTCATTTTTAATTTTTAAATTTTTTTTTTTAGACAGAGGGAATGGGAGGGAGAAAGGTAGATAGAAAAACATCTATGTGTGGTTCCCTCTTGCATGCCCCCTGCTGGAGACCTGGCCTACATCCCAGGCATGTGCCCTGACTGGGAATTGAACCAGTGACCCTTTGGTTCACAAGCCAGCGCCCAATCTACTGAGCTACATCAGCCAGGACAATAGTAAGCAGTAATTTTTAACTCCCAGGATTCTGAAGTTACAAGAATAAGAGGCACAACCCTACATGTTAAAGAAACATTATAAACTATAAAAAAGAGACAATTTTTCTTTCTTAATACACCTGCATGATGCTTGGGTGTCTAGAGGAGGCAAGCAGGATATTGAGAAACTTCTATTTCAAGTTCAGATTTTGGTTTCTCATAATTACGACTATTCTTTTATATAGTTTTTTAGACTCATATAGTAGAAGGAAGAAGAATCCAAATTAAATTTCTTATTACATAATCATAACTAATATTTTCTTTTGTCAATTATACAATTTAGCATTAGGTGAATATGTGTGTATAACATATATAAAATATATTAGCACATGTATATTAATGTTCTGAGGATGGAATTTACTATATTGCCAAGTAAATAGGACTACATCCTTCAGAGTGAAGCAGTTGAGCATTGGTGGAGACTATTTTTATGAAGGCAGACCACATACTAAATGAGGTATAGTGGCCTAAACTACAATACAATGTAGATGTTCTTCATGACAGAGGTAAAGAATAATATTATGCTTTTAACCAAATAAGTATAATGAACTAGTATAATCAAAGTATATTTCTATAATAAAGGAACTAGTTTGAATTTGTATAGGGAGTGTTTCTGACCAGGGGTGTCCACCCCAGGGGACATTTTTTGGCTGCTGGGAGTAGAGGATGTTACTGGCATCTAGTAGGGAGGTGCCAGGGATGCTTCTTAGTATTATAAAATGCACAGGACAGCCCCACTCCATGAATTGTGATACAGCCCAAAAGGTCAACAGTGCTTTAGTGAGAAACTCTTTTAGGATATTTTTTTGACCTGCCACATGATATCCCAAATACTTTCCACAATTTCATTTAACAAATAAACTTTTAATAGAGGTGTCATGGTTATAATAACTTCATGATTTTATTTTAGTGAAAAACTTCAGTGAATAGAAGTATATTTGTGTGTACTTGGAGTAATTTATGAGAGGAAAGAATCAAGGATGAAGGGCAAGTTTCTGGCTTGAGCAAGTCACCAGGAGGATGTTGGTGACATTATTTGAGATGTAACAGATGTGTGGAATAAAACCTTCAGTTCAGATTTTATACTTGTAGAATTTGAAGTACTTGAGATATGTTAAGAGAAAATCCTGAAGATCAGAACTTAGGTGTTCAGACACATCTTTAAATTGAAATTTGTCAGTATACGAATATAAATTTAAATTAGCTCTGGGATTGGATGAAATCACCCACACTAGTGTCCATCTTATAGCACAGTCTTAGGAACACTAACATTCACAATATAGGTAGAGGAGAATCTATCAAGAGACTAAGAAATAGTCAGGGATACAATAGCAAGTGATCCAGAAGTGTAATCTTCAAGCCAAGGGAAGAGAAATGTTTTCAGGTGGATAAGTGGTTATTGATATGGAGGCTGCTACTGACTTTGGTGTGTACAAGTGGCTAGAAACCAAATGAAAGTGGGTTGAGAAGTCCGTGGTAAGTAAGAAATTATAGTTGTATTGTAAATTTATATAAATTTGGCTCTGAAGGCCTTCAAGACCATGGTGAGTAACATTTTACAATATATTAAATAGTTGCTTGGATTGTAAGTGATTCAGCAAGTATTAAAATAGTTCCTGCTTATTACCACTGATAAAGGTGCATGTTTGACACTCAAATATTACCTTTTCTTTTTCAGATCTTTCAAGAAATCGTTTTGCAGAAATTCCTTCTGATGTCTGGTTATTTGCACCCCTTGAAACATTAAATTTATATCATAATTGCATAAAAACCATTCCTGAACCCATTAAAAACCTGCAGATGCTAACATACCTTAACATCAGGTAAGGAAGTAATTTGGGGGTAAATTTTGTTTTTTATTATACTTCTAATCCTTTTAGTAGCAAAAGAATGTGTTTGGTTTGGCTGTGTATCCTATATTTATCTCAGTAGTGTCTTAATTGTATTTTTTGTATGTCCACACTACTTTATAGGCCTATTATCTTGTTCTTGAGAGCAGTGCTTCTCAAATTATTGTGCAAGAACTCACCTGGGGATTCTAATTCCCTAGGTGTGCAGTGGGGCTTACATTTCTAACAAGACCCTTGGTAATGCCCATGCCCGCTGGTCCTCCAGTCACTTTGAATAACAGTGCTTTTCATCAGAAATATTTTTACTGAAATCATAGCACCACAATACCAATTTATTTATATGCATGCTCAGTTAAAGTGAGACATTATAAAGAAACAGTCCTTGTGATATTTTTCATACTGTTAGAACTTTCTGTTGCTACTTCAAACATGGATATATTGGGATGGGAATGTCAGAACATTAGAATGTCAATGACAGCTGATGTTAACACCAAATAAATAAGTGCTTACTGTGTACCAGGTAGTGTTACAAATACTTTACACATAATATTTCATCTTCACGACATTTTGAGATACGTACTTTTATTATCCCCAAATTGCAGATGAGGAAACTGAAACACAGAGAAGTTAATTATGTTTTATATATCTCTGTCTATATCTATGGCTATCTTGGTAGGGTCAACGTTATAATCAAAATAGTATGGCTGTAGAAATCTCATTCTTAAACTATATAACAGTTTAAGTGAATATTTAATAAGAATAAGAAAAAAATTCCCTGTCAAATGAGTGACATTGAATGGAAACTTCTATATTATGACAATTTTACAATCATTTGCTTGTTTTTCTTTCTCCTTTTTTTTTTGATTTGTAAGGGATAATTTCTTTCCCCTCTCTCTAATGAAGTTACTTGTTTAAATTCTCATATAGGGAAGCAGGAAATATAGTTAATATACATAAATAATAATGTTCCTTTCTCACCGTGATATATTAATTATTATGTGTGTCCCCCCACAGTGGTGTCACCTGGCAGTACATGCTGTTTAAACTGAAACCACTTTACACCTTAAAATATGTGAGAGGAATTTCCTTCTATAGATATTAGTCATTTGGGTTGCTCCTTCCTTTAATTGGTTATAATCTCCTTGGCCTAGCTTGGGAGAGGTTTGAGGAAAGCGAGCTATTTTTAAGTTTGTTTTGTTTCATTTTGTTCCTTAATGGAAAAAAATTGATTTGTCCAATATTGAATTACATTTCTATGTTAATATATAGTATATCTTAGCATGCAGGCATACTGCAGAGATATTGTGAGTTCAGTTCTAGACCACCACAATAAAGTAGGTATCACAATAAATAGAGTCATAATTTTTTTTTGCCAGTGAAGGGTCTTGCCTTCATTTGTAGAAAACACAATACCTGTAAAGTGCGATAAAGCAAAGCACGATCAAACGAGGTGCGCCTGTAGTTTTATTAAAACTTTCTCTTATTCCTTTTTGCTTTGATCTTTAAAAGTTAACTTCTGATTCTTGTTTACTGTCACAAAAATTTTGAAAAAACTCTTGAAACAACATTTGTTCTGATGACTGACTTCCTTTGACTATCTCTAAAACATGTGGCAAAAAAAGTAAAGATTAATGACTTATTAGCTGTGTATAAAGAAACTATATGGCTGGTGTAGCTCAGTGGATTGAGCATGGGCCTGCGAACCAGAGGATCACGGTTTGATTCCCAGTCAGGGCATATGCCTGGGTTGCAGGCCAGTTCCCAGCAGAGGACGTAGAAGAGGCAACTATACATTGATATTTCTCTCCCTCTCTCCTTCCCTTCCCCCCTAGAGATAAATAAATAAAATCTTTAAAAAAATTAAAAAGAAAGAAATTAAATTTTAGAGAAAGCTTACTGTGCTAGTTTAATGAACCTGATTCTTAAGGGGAGCAAATAAATCAATTTTTAAACATTTTTGGTCTGAGGGGGATTAGAATGTTTTTTGTTTGTGCCCTTATTTTTCCATTTATTTTATTTTTATTTTGGTGAAAGTATCTTGAGAAACTTGTAAGATGATTTTTTAGTTCTTTTTCTCTTCCTGTATACTATCCCCTTTAAAGTAGAATCCTGCAGGAAGATTCTTGTTTGCTTCATTCTGCTTGATCCTAAAAGTGTCAAGAGTTATGACAGGCCCCTAGCATATTTGACTTTCAGGCAGCATGGCCAGGATTCCTGTTCTAGGGACATTGTCTTTTTTTTTTTTAAGTTTGTGCCAGGTCTAAAGCCATTCTAGTGTTTCTGGATGTCTCTCCCTGCATAAAATGGGGTGAAAGTTTTTGAAATCCTGTCTTGGGTTAACACTGAGCTTTTGTTGTACACGTTACACAAAAGTGTAAGTATGTACATCTATAAATGTAACTTTGAAAAACAAAAAAATAACTGCTCATTGCTTATGAATGCTTAGTATAGTATGTAAATGTAATGGTATACTTTATATAGTTTGGGATAGGATTTTCTTAGTTCATTTGGGCTGCTATAACAGAATACTATAGACTGGGTGGTTTATAAGACAACAGAAAATTTTTACAGTTCCGGGGGGCTGAGAAGTCCAAAATCAAGGCACTGGCAAATTTAGTGCCTGGTTCATATATGGACATGTTCTAGCTGTGTCCTCACATGGTAGAAGAGGTGAGGGATCTCTCTGAGGTCTCTTATGTAAAGGCACTAATCCCATTCATGAGGGCCCTCATGACCTAATCACCCCCAAATGCCCCACCTAATATCATCACCTTGCGGATTAAGTTGTTGGGGGTGGCACAAACATTCATTCTATAGTGGGGATCATTTGGGTGTCAGTCAGCATTGGTGTATAAATTTGACCTCAGTAGTTTGAGGGTATGGGACCCAGAGCCAGATTGTCTGGATTTAAATGCTGGTTCTCCCATTTACCAGTTGTGTGACTTAAGGAGTTTACTTAATGTATTTATGACTGTTTCCTCATCTGTAAAATGGGCATCATGATAGTAGCAATCTTCTTAAAGTAGGTTGTTGTGAGGGTTAGTCGAGTTAATTCATGTGAGGTGCTCTGAACATGGCCTAGCACACAGTAAACAATAAGTGTTTGTTGTTGTTATATTTAAACGCACTCATGGAGGTAAGAATGTTGTAGCTGAGATAAAGGTGCTAGTAGGCTTTTCTACCATAAACCCATAAAAGGAGACGAGTTAGGGTTTACATGTTTTTGAACATATAATCCTGTTCATTCTTTCATAAATTTAAACTAAATGCAAATTCATCCTTGGAGTCTTTCTCTAGTTAGAGGCATGGAGCTATTGAATATAGTGAAATTATAGCAAAGAGCAAGGTTCTGATATTCTCTAGCTCAGAAGAATGATTGTTGGTTTTGAGAACTGGTGGTGTGTAGGACAGTATCATAGGTAACAGCACAGGTTTTGCAGTCTGCTGTGCCTGGGCAAGTCACTTAATAAGTTTTTACCTTTGTTTCCTTATTTGTATAATGGCACTAATAGTATTACATATCTTGTGGGATTAATGTGAGGACTAAATGTAATAGTGTATGTAAAGATTTTGGCCTGATACAAAGTAAGCATTCATTAAATAATACTTATTATTTTACCAAAGTTTCTTATTTACTTTTGAGGCGATTTGTTCTTTTTCAACATAACCTGTCAGGTTTTAGACGTATTTCTTATAATGAGACTTTCTTATTCCTTTCAGTCGAAATCTTTTATCAGCATTGCCAAAATACTTATTTGATCTTCCTCTTAAAGTCTTGGTTATCAGTAATAATAAATTGGTATCCATTCCAGAAGAAATTGGGAAGTTAAAAGACTTAATGGAATTGGTGAGTAAACAGTTGTATTGATTGTATGTAATGCACACAATTCATACCTTTATTTTGGAATATTACTCATTTCTTTATATAATTTCACTGTAATTTTTTAAGAAAAGAAAAACTTGGTATACCCTTGGCCTAAGTTCACTTTAGGAAAATTTCAAGATACCATTGCTTGTCTGATTTTAGCTCACCGCCAGTAAAAGCCTACTTGTTCCTCAATCCTACTCAGAGGCTTGCTTACAAGTCTTAAGAAATGTTTTTCAAACGAATAAGCATTTGTCTATTCATTTTGTGGAAAGTAAAGTTCTTACCAGTAAAAAAACAAGTTTTTTTAAGGTGTTACTAAGCCTGCTGTGAGAGCCTCAGAGAAAATGGATACAAACAAAACAGTAGAATGAACAAAATAATCCCTCCTGTCCTATATACTCATGTGATTTTTATAACATTTTTGGGACTAAGATAAATGGAAAGAGGCCATTATATACAATTGATTATAGAAATATAGGAATAATTTAAAGTAATTACTTTGTGCATAATAATTTAGATATTAAAGGACATTGAACTCTGAGAGAAACATAGATCTTCTGGCACTGAGCTATTTTCACATGTTGCTGTTACTTCCACTTCACATAGTATACCATGCTGTTCATTTTTATTTTGTTTTATCTTGAGTAATGCTTTCATAATAAATAGATATTTAAAACTGTTCTTAAGTATGACTTTATTATGTGTGAAAATCCAAAAGTTTTCTTGAGAAATTTATTTATAATTTTATAATGAAAAATTAATATGTTAATAGAATATAGTGAACAAAAATTTCAGGAATGTCTTCCTTTTATTCATTAAGGAATACCTGCATGTGCAAATATCACACAAGGAAACTTATTTAAACTTAGTGTTGTTATATTTTAGAACCACAGAATTTTAAGTTTGTATGAAATCTTATAAGTAATTGGATATGAGCTCTCCCTAATGCAGAAATCTCTGACACATCTAGCTGGATATTTTCAGTGGTAGATAAATTTGTGTGTGTGTGTGCATGTGTGTGTGTGTGCGCGCTGAGGCAGCCCTAATTCTCTTTTGCAACTCTTATTTGTTATCCATTTTATTTTTAACTAAAATACATAACCTCTGTCACTGTTATCTACTGGTCTTGGGACTACCATGTAAACAATAGATAATGACAACTTCACTTCCCTTCAGATATTTGTAATCTGGTGTGTGTCTACTTTCCATTTTTTCAAACTGTAAGACCTGTTTTCTGTGATATAAAATCCTTATCACTTTTATTTCTTTCTGTATTTCTGTTCTTTATTAGTTTTTATTTTTAACTATTTCTATTCCAAAAATGTTCTTTTTTTAATTAGGTCTCTTTTAATGTTATACTCACCAGTGAATGGAAGACTTCAGATGTTGATCTAACAAACTTATAGTAAAAGAGCCATTACTTTTTTTCACCTGAACACTTAATATTTTTTAAAAAAGATTTTATTAATTTTTAGAGAGAAAGGGTGTGGGAGGTAGAAGGAGAGAGAGAGAGAGATATTGATTGGAGAGAGAAACATCATTGGTTGCCTCTTGTATGTGCCTTAGCTAGGAACCTGCAACATAAGACATGTGCCCCAACCAGAAATTGAACCAGTGACCCTTCTCTTTGTGGAATGACACCCAGCCAACTGAGCCACGCTAGTCAGGGGTAGACACTTAATATTTTAAAATATTTTATACTGGCCACACATCCCGGCCAGCCTAGCAATCCTACCACACCTTGGGCTAAGACCTCACCAAGATGCCAACTCAAATGGAACACACCATGGAAACCATGATGTTCATGTTTCACAAATTCGCTGGGGATAAACGCCACACAACAGAGGCCCTGAGGGTATTCATGGAAAAGAAGTTTCCCGGATTTTTGGAAAATTAAAAAGGCACTCTAGCCAAACAAAATAATAAAGGATCTGGACCAGTGCTGAGATGGCCAAGTGGTATTCCAGAGCTTCTTTTTGCTAATTGACAGGCTCACTGTCACATGCAATAACTTGTATAGTACACCTAAAGCAGAAGGGAAAGAAGCAGTTGAACAGCTACTTCCTCCCTGATCAAGAGTTCTCCCAGTGTGTTGTTTAAGGAATCTCTGCCCCATAGCCTCCCCCTGTATGAGGATTTCATGAGCAGATCAAGACCCTTAGAAAACCTACAGATAAAATCCCACCCCCATTTGACAAGAGAAAGAAAAGCCAATTAAAGCCAGATAAGTTTTTATTTTTATATTGCTTGCATCCTCTTTCCCTCCATAAACAAATTTGTTAGTTCATAAAAAAAAAGATTTTATAGATGTTACACTTTTAGATGCCATGGCTCTGTAATATCTTCTTTTCATTTAGTTTTTAGACCTATGTTCTAAATTATATTACATGAGGTAGTTTTTGGATAAGTGAAGTCTTAAAAATATTGAGTATTTTTAGATGTATTCTAGTATTTTTCTTTAAATAGAATGTTTGTTACCACAACCCTAACGTTTTCCTTTGCGTCCACCTGCCTGTGTGCACTGGCCCAAAGAAATGCACGAGCAGGAGTTCGCACTACAGAAAGAGAAAATAGTTTAATATTGAATAGGCCAATATGGTAATGAGCTTTTTATATAAATAAAACAACTCCCTGATGGAATGTAGGTTATATATCATATAGGACAAAAATCACAAAACACTGTGGGGTAGGGGTTTGGAGTCATACTGGGAGCTGACTGGTCAGAGGAGGTAAGGGTAATCATTTCTTTAGAGCTTGAGGACAGCTTTGAGGTCTTTTGTGGCATCCCCTCTGTCTGGTCTCATAGAAAAGCAGCTGGGTTTCATCTACCTCAGGGCTCAGAAAGTGAAACATGACTTAGGTCAAGATGTCATCTTTATCCTCTCAGAGGTCCAGACTTTTTAACCATTAGTCAGGTCCAGACTACCGTCTCTTCTGCCTTGAGGGTTACTGATTATCTGGGAGAAAGGTTAGGTCTTTGATGGGCATATATATAGAGAGAGAACGTTATGATTTCTAGAGCTAGGATTTAAAGCTAAATTTAATCAAAGTCATAAGGAGCCTCAGTTTCATATTTTAAAATATTAAATATCATTATTTTACTAGGCACTGTAAAATTATTGTGCTTTAAACTCTTTAAATCAGTAACAATGGATATATAGTGTTAGGATGACTAACTTACCATTGTAAATCGCATAGTGAATTTATGGGTATTACCTGTCAATGGAATGTTTTCCTATGACATTAATACACAAGAAATTGGTAGCAACTACAGTGAAATTCTGTCATTAGAAGCCAGAAATGCTTTCAGACCTCCAGTCCTCAGCAGAGTATTTTGTAGCATATCCACTGGTTAAGTGGGTCAGTTTCTGTGCCTGGGTTTATTTCTTCTGGAAAGTGTTAGCTCTCTATCAAATTGCTATACATTTTCTATAAGGAAATCTTCAGTATTAGACACCTTTGTGGAAGCAATAGTATTTATTTATTTATTTATTTATTTACTTATTTATTTATTTTTACTGTTGCTCAGTTACAGTTGTCCCCATTTCCACCCCCCCCTTTACTCTTCCCTGTCCTACCCCCCCCCACTTCCCACTTTCAGTCCTCCTCCTGCCCTATTGTCTTTGTCCATGGGTCCTTTATTTATGTTCCTTGATGCCCCTTCTGCTTCTTTTCCCCATTTTCCCCTTCCCCTTCCCCTCCTGGATACTGTCAGTTTGTTCTTTATTTCCATGTGTTCTATTTTGCTCACTTGTTTGTTTTATTGATTAGGTACCACTTATAGGGGAGATTATATTTTTCTCCCCTATAGGTACCTATTAGGTACCACTTATAGGGGAGAAAGTATTTTTCTTTCACCTCCTGACTTATTTCACTTAGCACAATGCTCTCCAGATCCATCCATGTTGTCATGAATGGTAGTTGTTCTTTCTGCTGCATAGTATTCCATTGTGTAAGTGTACAGTTTTTTTGGTCCACTCATTTACTGATGGCACTTAGGTTGCTTCCAACACTTGGCTATTGTAAATTTTGCTGCTATAAATATGAGGATGCATAGGTTCTTTTGAATTGTTATTTCAGGATTCTTAGGTTACGATCCTAGCAGTGGAATTGCTGGGTCAAAAGGCAGTTCCATTCTTGGTTTTTTGAGGAAATTCCATACTGTTTTCCACAGTGGCTGCACCAGTCTGCATCCCCCCCCAACAATGTACTAGGGTTCCTTTTTCTCTACAACCTTGCTAGCACTTGCTGTTTGTTGATTTGTTTATGCAGTAGTATTTATTTTAAAAGACATTTCCCAAAGTTTTCTTATCTATAATTTGTATACTAGCCTATTCTTAACACAGTTGCTAAGTTGATCCTATCAAAACATAAGTCAGGGTAAGTCATATCTCTGTTTAAAAGTTCCTGTTTCCTGCTAAAAGCCAAAGTTATACTCCTTCCTCCATTCTAGTCTTTCCCTCGGACACTTCCCTTTAGTTACACTGGATTCCTTGCTGTTCTTAGTACCTGTCAAACACACTTTGCCTAGGAGCCTTTCCATTTACTGTTCCTTCTCTATGGACTGTATTTTCTTTTATTTTGTATTGTTTCAGGTGTACAGATTGGTGGTTATACAATCATATACTTTACGTAGAATTCCCCTTGGTATTTTTAGTACCCCACTGACAGTATACATAGTTACCACAATATTACTTACTAGGAATAGCCTTTTCTTATATATTTGTATGGATTACATTCTCAGCTCTGACAACATTGCTCAAATAACAGCTTCTGCATGAGACCATCTAAATTGCTAATATCCACCCAGACCAACATGGCTTAGTTGGTTGAACATTATTCCACAAAGCCAAAAGGTCACTGGTTCAGTTGCTAGTCAGAACACATGCCTGGGCTGTAGGCCCATTCCGTAGTTGGGGCATGTGGAAGAGGCAACCAATCAATGTTTCTCTCACACATCAATTTTTCTCTCCTCTTTC